CAAAAACCTTTAGCCCAAAACTTAGCCTATGTGCACCAGGCCTGCGACCTCGGCTGCCATCAACATATGCTACCGAATGTATGACTAAACCTTCCCTCGGAGTGAACCCGATACGAAAGTTCCACTGTAAGAAAAAAAAATGTTGAGGCAATTTAGAAATAACCTTAAGCATAATCACCTGGTTTCAGTTAGGCTATCACTAGAAAACTACCTTCTGCCACTCGACAAAGTAACCCCTAACGCGAAAACTTGGACCTTCAGGCTGAATAATCTGGAGAGGCTTAACATCACTTCTATCAACACCCCCTCTACTTTCACCAGGGGTATAATTCCTCAAAGGGTCCGGTGGGGGCAGTGGCACAAACTTACGGTCTTCAAACTCAATCACCACCATGTTTTGCATGTCTACAAGTACATAAATGCCCTCAACTGGACGAGCGTAGCCATTTTCCATAGGGGAATCACTATCAGTCCGACAGTATATAAGGGGCTTCGCAAGCCTACGACTAGGAGCGTCAGCTTCACTGTGATAACCCACACACCTGCACAGTAAATCCAGAGGCAGGCTCAGGGAAAAAGTACACCTTAATTGACAGCTTTCCAGCAGAAACAAGGATGTTATTGACATACCAGGGATCCACCATCACTAGATCCATGTCTTCAATACCTCTCCTCTTCATTGCCTCAATGAATGGGGGGAAGTCTTTGACAATCGCTTCACATTCAGCATATTCAGCCGCATCCTAAAATCACAAGACCTTATAGTGAGAAACTCGCGAACAGAAGTAGCATCTAAATCCACTTAAGAGATTCAATTGCTTAGAGCATACCATGGGTGGCTGAACATCAGGTATCACTTGCGAGGAAACAACTTTTCCCCTGTGATGTCCACCCCGAGTGACAGCATGAACTTCAGATAACTCCACGATCCAGACACTTGTCTCATTAGACGTCTTGTTGTACACAACAAGTCTTGCTCGCCTCGGAGGGAGCTTCATAGGAATCACAGGTCCAGCTTTATTTCTTGGAAGTAGTGATGGCTGGAACGGAGGGAAGAAGTAAGCATCTGCCAGCGCCACAACATGCTTCTCTGGTTCCACTGAAGCCACCTCAATGAAACGCATGCTATCCCTAACCTGCCAAAGAAAAATCATACAGTTTCAGTAAAACCGATGATCATAGCTTGAACATCCTGCTACATTTGATTCGAGAATATTTTCAGAAAAAAAAAAAAAAAAAACCATTCTGATGACAAAGAACAAAGTTTCCGCACCTCAGGGTTGGCACCAGCCGCACGAACAGTCGCCACGGCAACTGATATTTCTGCAGCAGAGAGAGGATCCAACGGGTGTTTTGTTTCCGTCCTTGGCATGACAGAAATTCCTGCATTGGCACAACAGTGATCGCAATATATATTCAATTTCAGAGAAATCACTACCACCATTTTAATTCACGGATTACTATCATGGAGGGTGAATTTAAAGCTGTCTAAGTGTGAAAGAGAAGCCATCAAATACTGATGATAGCAGCACACAGCAACCAATTTCACACAGCAAAAGTAACTATCATCAACAAATCCAGTGAACAAGAACTCAGTAATTTAAACAAATCGCGATCTAAGATCAGAAAACATATAGAGCAGAACAATGATCGATGATCAATGATCCTAAGGCAGATCATAAGATTCTTTAAATTCGGAACGGTTATTCAGTCTAGGAGAGCTGAAATTTTGATTTACCTTTGTTGGCAGGTTTCTTGGCCGTATCAGGAAGCGAATCGACAGGGCGGATTACGGATTCCAAAGCAAGCTTAGAGGCTCGCTGATTCTCACCTTCGGAGCTTCCGCCGGACCATCCAGCAACCGTATTGGACACGGCGGAGGCGAGTTTCGGAGGCGGAGCAGAGCCTCCGTGGTGAGCACATGCCGTCGCCTTTTTCGAAGTTGAGGCCATTGAATAGGGTTCACGAGTTCTCCAAATCCACCAAAATAAGTCTCAACACAATCTACTGACATACAGCAAAACCTATCTCTATCCGTCGCTTGATCTCCCCCCTTCTCTCCACCACTCCCGGTTTTAAGAAAAAGAAGAAGCTCCAAGCAAATTCCACTAAGATTCGAACAGTCGATTTCCCGGGAGATAAATCTCCGATCGCCGATGACACAAATCACAGCTACTGTCTCTCGACTTCAGCTCAGTGAAAAGAAGTTCGGAAGCTTCCACGGACGATGGACTCTCTCCTCACCGGATCTGAATTTCTCAGCAGCGTATCTGTGATCGTCTGTTTCCCGTGGTGGAGGAAGAAACTGATTCTCAATTGCTATTTCCTATTTCGTATTTGTTTTTTTAAAGAGTTTGATTTTGTTGTGGCTCGAGTCCAAGCAGAAGCGGCCAAGCCTATATGTGGGCTCTACTTGTATATACAGTATATTTATAAAAGGACCGGACTCCATGGAATTATTTTTTTTATAAAAAAATAAATCCAACTTGGATAACGACGTGGATGCACTATAGTCATGTCTTCATGAGATGCTCAATTGCAATATATACTGAGAAATATTATTATATACGTGTCAATTAATAATTTAACAGAGTTTAAAATAAGCAAAACGGAAATACAAAGTTACAAAAAATAATTCTAATTAACTTAAGTTTGACGTGTAACACCAAAATTTACTCGTATTAATTGAATATTTTAAATATAGAAATATATTTTGATATAATGTGTGTATTTCAGAAGTTTTGTCTTTATTATCTTGAGATACTCTATTATCTAACGTCTAAAATTACAGTAAATGGTAATCATGATGAGATTATTTTTAGAGAATATATCATACAAATTTACAGCAACAAAATAAAAAAAATGAACGGGATGCGGAAAGAAATTGAACGGATCATTATATGGCAATTTACTCAAATTGCTTATTTGATTTCTTATTCAAAACTTATTCTTTCTAGCTAGTTATCCATTAGCAAAATAGTTTTCAGATTGTTTATTTTGTGACGAAAAAAAATTAGTGACGTTTAACACGTATATAAGCTACATGAAACTATTCAAAAACTTAGAAAAGTTACTACTGATCAAAGTGTTCTTATTTATAAATTCAACCAAATAAAAATATAGTTAGTGTTTGAAAAAGAAATGTGAAACTGAAATATAGTGCAATATATAAATTCAATTTATATTAAAATATACATACTTGCCAATTGCTAAATTAATAAGTTGTAAATATATAAATAGATCGTGAAGTGGACCGCACCATCCATGCAGTCTTGAACAACAAAAAACCGCTGTACTCTACGACTAGCAGACTTTACGAGGCTCACAATTTTTTTCGGATTTTCTATAAAAACAAATCTTAATCCGTCCATGATGTTAGAAATAGTAAAACCTTTTATAGCCTGAAACTAATTGACACGTTTACTTCTGCACAGTTTATATATGTCATTGTCTTCGGTGTGAAACACGTTCTGTTTTTGTTTGTACTTACTGATGATCTTAACTTGACTACTTGTCGTCTTTAGGTTTGCTTTGTTTCTTCACTGAAGCATTTCAGCCTTTTTTAAAAAAGCAAAACGTATCAAAATGCCAATTTCTTGAGTCATTTTGCTAATCGTAATCGATAGGCTGGTTTCGTATTCCGAGGAAAAACACAATAAAAGCCAGAAAAACTGATATCTTTTAAATCATATATGATTGATAGGATCCAATGGTGGATATCAAGCTAATAAAATAAGCTTTAGAAACTAAAAAGAAAGCCTAATAATGCTGAAACTATTGCAAAAAAAATGCTATGAAAAGGTTCAAACAAAAAAAAAACTATTGCAAAAAAGAATAGGGAATTGTCCTAATTAACTCTTTTACGATTAGCTTTGGCAACTCTTTCGATTTCGTCGTTATTCTTTAGTCTTTAACAAATCATGAAGCAATTAATCTTATTACCAATATTTACAGGAACTAACCAGTCCACCACCGATGCAATAAACACACAAAAATTGTTCATATGCACATGAACAAAAAAAAGTAGAAAACTTCACCATTTTTCTTTTTTTTTTTGTTAAAGAAAAACTTCACTAGTTTTCACAAGAAGTTACTGATTGATTTATATACGTCGACGATGACCTGAACCGGGTTTTGATCTGTCGAGAGATGGATCATGGATGATCTCCAGTTGTATGCTTCATGATCCTCACTGCCATGAGTTCCTTCCGTGGATCATGAGAGAACCGTTCCACAAGTTGACACTTTAACTTTCTTGAACCTTTTTACTGATTTATCGACAAGCATTGTGTGGTAAAGTACATAATGTAGGTAGCGTACTTAGCGAAATATCATTCACCTTAATTATAGTAAAGGGGTGTATACCAACAATACGCTTGGTGAAATTCTGCAGTAAATCTCTTGCAAAATGGATATTAAGCAATGTGTCCAACACACTTGGTATATATATATTCCAATAAGATCCGGTTAATACGTTCCAAACGCAACAACGGGCCTGCGAGAGAGAGAAGGCGACAGACTTAACAAATGACGAGCCGAGCTATCTACAGAAGTGCCAATTATTGAACCAAGATTCTTTTGATGTAGACACGAGGATGTTGCCTGCTCTGTAGTGGATCTTGTTCCTTCAGTATTCGCCTACATTAACTTCTTATTTATGTTTTGAGTGGCTGATTTAATGAATTCAGAAACTCCATTGTTATCAAGATTTAAAAACAAAACAGCTTCAAAGTTCCAATCAAAAAGCTTCACTGGATTTGTAAACTAAAATAGTGACTTCTGAGAGGATTACAAGAAAGAAAACTAAAAATATCTCTCACATGGAAACACATTCTGATGAAGGAAGAAAAAAGAGACGCTGATAACATAAACCAAACAATGTGCATAATGGGTATTGACCTCTCTTTTTTTTTTTAATTTTTTCTGGGTTATAGAGGAAGATAAGAGAGGTTCTTCGCCTATAATACACACTATATTCCGGTGGTGGGACTAAATTGGAACTTAAAACACAGCAACCTCAACACAAGATTTACCAACTGTGAACTATCAGTTGTGGCTGCAGCTGGTGAGATGACTTTTTTGTCTTAGTGATCACAGGAAATAGTCTGGTGTTCTTCGAGTAACATCTGGTTCTCCTCTCCTCGGTGCTGGTTCAAACTGCATTCATAGTTTTTTACTTTTAGTTAGTTTTCTTTCCTTCTACACAAATTTCATTAGAAGACAAGACATCTGGGTTTTGAGGCAAGACCTGAATGAAGGTGTGGTTCCTGCAGTCATCAACCTCAAGAATCGAAGCCATGTTCCCACAACGATAACAATAGTTTGGTGCACTGAAGATAGTTACCACCTTTTGCTCCTGTTGACGGAATAACAAGAACAAGTATAATAGTGAGCAAAGAATCTTAAGCCTCGCAAAGCTATGGAAGAAATATAGAAGTGTTGAGTTGAATTATTACATGAGCCCAATTGTATCCATCCATAACCAGCTGATGGGCTCGGGCGATCAGCTTTAAGTTGTTTGAGTGGTTGAACTGTTCGGATATATCCTATGGAAACAAAATGACAAGAGATAAAAGTCAATTAGGAACTTGTTTTAAAAGGAGTGAGGGGAACCAGATTCAGGACCGTTCCGAGACTTGTAATTACCTGACCAAATGTATATCCCGCACCACGTGGAGAGATGCCCCAACCACAACGGTCATCAGGGTCAGACCATAATAAGTCACACATCGGCCCTTCATGAGGCACTTCTTGAACTCGATCAAAATTCCTTATGTTGTCAAGGGTCTCGATAGATGGAGACAATCCACCATGAAGGCAAAATATTTCTGACTCAACCTGCAATGGAATGACATAATGATTTGATGATACCAAAAAAATGTATAGAAAACACCATCGGTTTAGTCAGATAAGTCATACATGTACTCTTCCATATATCTAAGATCTTCCATTCTTTGCATTTTTCAGTATACTAACGTCTTGAAATTGATGTGACACTAGCAAAAGAAATACGACACCACAATACAAAAGCAATTCTTTAGTTCAAAAGAATATTGCCAGCACAAGACAAAGGACAGAGCATCTATATTAAAAGACTCCAGGACTTAATACTTATGTGAACCCCCAACATCATAAAAGAGGAACAAAAGTTTTGAAACATGATAGGCACTAACCAAGGCTGTCAGTGGGAAATAGTCGAAGAGGTCTGTGAAGATTTTCCAAACATTTGCGTTGCCATATCTGCAAGAAAAGCAAGCTTTGTTTAACAAGTTGCAAAATCTACAACCTAAATAATCAAATGCATTTCTAGGTAGAGATTAATAAACTTCAAACTCGGATGTGTAAGATAATACAATGTAAGAACAATATTAATGATGATACAAACTACTTGCATGCAATTAGCAGCATTCTACAGAATAAGGATTTTTTTCAAAAGACTCACTTTCGCAGACATTCATCATAAAATCCATAAACCTGAGTGATCTGCCAGACAGAATAAAAAACGTAAAGCCTGCGTCAGAATGTAAGTTGTAGACAAAAACAAAATTTTACAAGAATACATGTGTGTCAACCAAGATTTCAACGATGGAAAAGGGGCTGGAGATGGTGTACTGTATTACCCTCAGTAGGTGAATTTACAAGTGGAAACAAGGTAATAAGATCATAAAGTATTAGTCTACCTGACGACTTTCATGGTTTCCTCTAAGAATGGTGATTCGCTGAGGATACCGCATCTTTAAGGCGACTAACAGCTGGGAAGAGGATAAAAAGGAGAAACAGTATCAACATACTTCATATTCTGACCCAAAATATTTATATTGTAGACCAAATATATTTAGCACAGTAGATATCGTTTACCAATAAAAAGACAAGGAATGGCTTGTAGATTAATCAGACTACTCTTAAATGGAAAAATAAATTAAAAAAGAGTTCTCAATATATCATCCGCGTACCGTAACAGTTTCAACAGAATAATAACCACGGTCAACGTAATCTCCCATAAACAGGTAATTGGTATCAGGGCACTGCAAAAGAGAGAAAATCGAATAGCTAAGAATACATGGATAAACAAAAATCAGTGGCAGGGCCAAATGAACGAAAAATGGTAATTGATAGACAAGATGCATGCTGAACAGAGATAAAACTAGCATCAATTGTGCTTTCTCAGTAAGTTTCATAGATGTTACCATTCCCCCGATACGGAAAAGCTCTGCAAGATCATGGAACTGTCCATGAATATCACCGCAGATTGTCACAGGGCTTTTCACAGGCTGCATGCAGGAAAGAGTTAAGAAACGTGGTTAAAGAATGAATCCATGGGCTAGTAGCACAGTCAACCACATTCAAAATATAATCGCCAAGAGCGGTGAGAGATTTAATCAACCAAAGAGAGATGCAAGACCAAGAACTAACCTGAACGTTGCTTTCATCCATTAAGATCTCCTTGGCTTTCTCGCATAATGCTTTAACCTAAGAAAATAAAACAATCCAGCATATGATATTCAACTCTTTAACTTCCTAAAGACATAAGGATTACCAGTAATAGTAACTATTAATGAACACAAGACTCGAAAATGTATACTTATAGAAATCGACTTGGCACATGCAGCAAACAGGAACATCAGTCACACCAAAAAAAAAAAAAGTGTGCAAGTATTGATCAGGGTTTTGGCTGATATGAGTTACTGAAGGTCCTTTTTGAGTTCCAATAGCTCTAACACCAGCAAAAACGGGTTTCCTTCTACTTTTCAGTTTTGATTCCCCTAATTGAAAAAGCCAGTAATAATGCGAAAAAAAAAAGAAATCTTATCATCTACATCAAATCACACCAGCTCAAGGAGAATCCCGAATGTCAGAGGAACCCACATTACCAGGCACATAAAAACACGAGCTTAGATGTGGTTAATCACTTTATGTTAAGAATCCGATGCAGCCAAAATTCATCATCAAACCATAGAAGCAAAGCCAATTCTCCAACCCATAAAACTGCGGTGAAAACGAACACAAACGTCAAGATCTAACATTTTCCAGAAGATCTTCATTTGGATATAATCGAAAATCCCCAAACTCAAATCCGCTAATCCCATACCCGACGAAAGCACAATCAGAACCCAAAAAAAAACTATTCGACTCGACACAAAGGCCAGATCCAATCATCGATACAACCCAAGTCCATAAGACCATAACAACAAAGTCGAAAAACGTGAAGGGCAAAGGAAAAGCCATCATCTAAGGAGAAAGTGGCAGGCACCTGTTGCTCGGAGAGGGGCTTGCACTGCATGAGCTGCGAGATCTGCTCATCAAGATCAATGGTTGCGTCCGTCGGTATAGAATTCGCGCCCATTCTCGTTACTTTGTTTTTCGTCCTCTTTTCTCTCGTCCGATCCAGGAAACAGATCAGGGACCAGGACTAGTTTTCCAAATTAGGGGAAGCCCAAACCCTAAATTGGATGGGATCTGCGTATTCTTCGCTTCTTTCCACTTTCTAGCTCTCTCTCTCTCTTTCTCTCTGTCTCTCGCTTTGTGTGCAGTGAAAGAAGATCGAATTTGAGATGGCGCGTGAGAAGAGCGAGTGGTTTGTAGCTTTCGAGCTGTATATCTGGTTTTACTATAATACCCCTTGATTATTATTATTTTCGGTCGACAAAATTTTGTACTAATTATACCACCTTGATTTTACTCTTCTTTTTGAATTAAATCTTAAATAGTGCGTATATAAACCCCCAAAAATTGCATTTTAAAATTGATTTCATTTCAATAAACTGTGTTTTTAGTTTTACATAACATATTACAAGGACCAGCTCAATCTTTGCTAGAATAATTTGCAAATTGGTACGAAATCGTCACTGGAACGTGAGGGATTCATAGAACCGGTTGAAGGCTCCGCAATTTGTTCGGTTTAATCGAACCAGTTCCAACTTATTTTTATTGTTTCTTTTTGTTTCGCCGCTTATTTCATTGTTATCGAGAAAAAGAATTAGCTTCCTTCGCTTATTCTTTCACTAAGGGTTTTGTGCTCATCTCTCTCTCTCTCTCTCTCTCTCTCTCTCTCTCTCTCTCTCTCTCTCTCTCTCTCTCCTCTCCGACTCTCCGTCTCTCCGTGATGGCGACGAGATCTGATTCCGGTGAATGTTTTGGGCAGGAGAAAACTTCGCTTTCTCAGGATGATTTTGCAGAAGACTCCTTAAAGATCGTTTCTTTGCCGCCAGTAGAGAAGGACTATGGTGGAGAGATAAGCCCAAAGAAGCAAGTCAAGTCTTCGCCTTTTACTTCTGTTTCCGAGAAAGATGGAGAAATTGCCCATGCGGATTCTGTTGAAGTTTCTTTCTCCGAAACAAGTTTGTTGCTTTCCAAAGAACCCGATGCGATGGATGTGGATTGTCCTGCAGTCTTTTCTGTGCCTGAAGCTGGCTCCGCGTCTCTCGAAGAGGAAAGGATTGGTGAACAACTGAAGCCGATCAAGGAAACGTTTGCTGCAAACATCTCTGAGATTTCTACAGAAGGCGATCAATTTGGAGATGATGTGCACAAGATGGAGGAGGAAGGTGTTGAGACTGATGGGTCCGTTGTTTGTATCTCTGAAATCCAAGGCGTGAAAGAAAGTTTGAACTCCGAGAAGAAGGGACAAGATTCTGATGTCCAGAGACTTTTGGAGGCTGAGAAGAGAAGATTGTTGGCTGAAATCGAAGTTGGGACGATTTTCAGGATTAAGGACGATGTGGGCAAGCCCGCTATGGCTTCTGATTCCCATAAGATCGAAAAGAATGGGAATGGGAATGGCTCTGAAGAGCAGCATGAGAAAATGGAAAGAGTGAGTGTAAAGGACAATGCTTTTGTTGGGAGATCTGTGAAGATCGATTTGGTTGATGATACTGCGTTGCTCAATGTTGTTCCTTTCTCCAAGAAAGGTAAAGATCATCCTAAGAGACCAGGAACTGCACACGCTGAGAAGGATACACCAAGAAAGCATAAGAAAACTGGAGAGAAACCAATTGGTGGGAAGCAAGATAAAGGAAGTGCTTCTAACGTTGTTGAAGGGAATGCATCAACCAAACTTTCTGAAACAAATGGGAAGCAGTTGCGGATAATGTACACTAGAAACCAAATGAAGTCGATGAGGAATGCCCAGTCTGCGAATCAGAAGAAACTATGGAGTGACATGTATGCTAGGCTCCCACCTGAGCTGGTGACCGAGTACGAAGGTCTAGTTAGCTTGAAGAATCAAAAGACTTCAAAGTCTAATCTGAGGGACAGTGGCATCGGTATTCTCGGTAACCCTCCAATTACTTTTCTTTTTATCTTATTTGCTGCATTTTGTGTTCTTACCTCCTGTCAGTTGAACATGTTGAGCAAAAAAATAGGTCTAAGAAAAATATCTCACTCCAGTTTTGGACTATCTAGCTCATGTATCTTTGATGCATTTCTGTGTGTGCCTCTCTCTCTCAAATGGATTTTCTTTGCTACGGTTATATGGTCTTTTCTTTCTCCAATGGGTAATCACAGTCAAACCCAGTCAGGTTTAGTGTCAGTGAGTACTCTTTCAGCAGTGCTTGTTCCCAGATATGTCTATATAAACCACTTCATTGTGTTTCATCCTCTGTAGCCTTGTTGACGATTTTGATGTCTGTTATATCTGGCCGAGAGCTCTTATCTTGTTTCCAGATCTGTTCTTCATTTATCCATTCATCCATTCTCTTCTCGGTTCCAGTCACATGTCGTTTTGATAGGGGCCTTTTGATTTCTTTTCCACAGGTCCCATATCGGCTGTGCCAAGACGAAACCGTGTGAATATCTTTGTACAGTGAGCCGTGAGCTGAAGAAATCTTTCAAAGTCCCTTGTTCACCAGTTTTCTCTTTTCTTAGACACAAAACAAGTTCTTTTTCGCTTGCATGAGCTAACACCTCAGTCATTCTTTCTGTATATAGATTCTTTGGTTCAGATTGTAAAAGGGGAATAGAGAGGTTCTTTGGCTGAAAGTGTGTATGGTCATATGATTCTTTGGCTGAAATTGTATATGTTCATACATCTTCAATAAATTGAAAACCTCGAAAGCTAATTCTTTCTCTGAAGTTAGTTCTTATCTGTTTCTACGCAAGTTAGTACACTGAAATTCAAAATTTGACTTATTTTCGTCTTGAGAAAATTTAGACACCAAAGAAGGAATGGATGACTTAACTCTTGAAGAAGAAGAGGATTACACTGAAGATAATGACGATTACAATAGCATTTTGAAACCTGCGTTTGCGGTGGATGGAGAACCTGATTTTGATTCTGGACCACCAGAAGATGGGCTTGAATATTTAAGAAGAGTCAGGTATTTTTGTCTCTCTATTTCCATGTTTCTGTCTATCTGCATTTTTTTGGGAATATATGGTTAAGTTGTTTCCGCATTTTAGGTGGGAGGCTAAGCGAGTTCCGAATGTAAAAGTAGCCAAGCTAGATGGAAGCAAGTACAGAAAGAAAGAGCAAAGTGTTTACATGCCACAAATACCTGAAATCCACAAATGCCCAGAGCACCTGTTACCAGTCAAAGAATGGGAAGACTCATTGCTTTCTGACTTCTTACAACTTCGCCTGGTATATTTCGTCTAAGTAACTAACTTGCATACTATTAGTGTTTCTCTTAACGGACAAGAAATGAAGGTAATTGTTATGGTCTTTTTTACAGGCTTTATCGCAAGATGCCAACAAGTATTGTGAGGATGAGACCATGTCAAGTCAGTCTATAGAAGATGTGCTCATGGAGATATTGAAGAAGCGTCTCCACACAGTGACAGATGAGTCATTCGGTGAGGTGGTTTCAGACATACAAGGAATGGACTCGGTGACGCGGGTATCGAAGCTGAAAAAGCGTATATGTTTGGTTGAGAAGGAGAGCGGTTTACAGAGCAGTGACTTCAAATGGATAGTAGCATTGTGTGCATCAGTGGATACTCCTTTGGATGCTGATACTTGTGCTTGCCTCAGGGCTCTTCTGAGGAAGTGTGCGAGTCTTCGTGCGTTAGAGGTTGAAGATGAACAAGTTATCATCATGGCAAATATGCTCATCACCATCGCAGGCAGATATTTTGGCCAAATGGAATAAGAGAAGAAGTTTAGTTGACGAGTGATACTCTTACTTTGAATTTGTCATTGTTGAAGGAAGAGGAATTACATTACTCGAAAAAAAAAAAAGAAGAATTACTTTACAATGTTACCTTCAGTATCCATGATATTAACTTTCAAAAAATTTCAAGCACAACCAATTTCAGTATACAATCCACCCAGGTGGATCTCAACCAGTCAACACATGATACGTTAAACAACAAATAATTTTAGTATTTTAAAATTTTCCAAAATTTTCGTTTGCTCAGATCAAATCCAGATTTTGTGATTTATACTAAGTGTCAAATAAAATAAATTTTCAACTGGAATCATAAATTAAATATTCATTTTTTCAATTGGCAACTATGTATAGGGGAGCACTCTCAAATGCAAGCAAATATTCTGGTGATGTATTAAAAAGTCCAAGTAAGTAGCCGACATACAATCTAATACGAAACCACAAAACCGACACGCAAGTTGAAAAGTGGGTAATAATCTTCTTAGACGAAGGGTTAATGGAAACGGCACGCAATCTGAGAGAGAGTTTATAAGAAGAGAAAGAGGAAAAAGAACAACAAAAGTCAAATAAATATCTCTCGACCTCTCTTTTCTCTATTGATTCTATCGCTCTGCGCAATACGTATCTATCTATTTTCACGCCTTCTGTGTCCGATCCCAAAAGGTAACCAAACGAATTTTAGGGTTTTTCCTCTCCCCCACGCCTTTACCGTTGATTTCTTCGATTCGTTTTTGGATTCTCTTGCCGAGTTTTGAGGTTCTGTCTCTTTATTCTCTCTCTGGATTTCGAGTTGCAGCTAGGGTTGTATGCTCATTGCAATTTCTATCCTTTTTTAATTCCCTTTTTGAGGTGAACATTGTTCTCCTATTTGCGTGATTCGGTTGGCATTTGGTGTTGTTATATTCGTTTTTCCTTTTCCTCGTTGGATTATGCTATTCTCCGAAGACTGGACTTTTTTTTCCCCAATTCGTCTTGAGTTATTCGGTGGATTCGATTATGATATTTGAGTTTCCAGCTTTTTGAGTTTGATGGGTCTCGTTTATTTAAAGTTCTTAGCTTGCTATTGATTTCGTCGTTTGCTATTGTTCCAACTGCGAAACCCGTCTTTTGATTTTCCAGGATTTCGTAATTCGACTTAAAGATATATTAAGTAAAGGGAGCAGCTTCGAGGATTTGAATTATTGGTTTTGGTAACGAAGGATTTGTTTGCTAGAGATTTGCGAGCTAGTTTTGTTTTTAGGACGTCACGCATTTCAATTATGAGTGCATCATGGGCTGATGTGGCTGACTCAGAGAACACGGGTTCTGGGTCTACTAGTCAGAATTCTCATCCGTCACGGCCTGCTTATGTTCCTCCACATCTAAGGAACAGGCAAGCATCTTCCGAGCCTGTTGCTCCATTGCCAGCAAATGATCGTGTTGGCTATGGTGGTCCACCTTCTGGGTCTCGATGGGCTCCTGGTGCTACCGGTGGTGGAGGTGGTGGTGCTTATAGGGCTGATGCAGGTCGCCCTGGCTATGGCTATGGTGGACGAGGAGGTGGTGGTTGGAACAACAGAAGTGGAGGGTGGGACCGTAGGGAACGTGAAGTAAATCCCTTTGAGAACGATGATGCTGAAACAGAACCAGCCTTTACTGAGCAGGATAATACAGTCATTAATTTTGATGCCTATGAAGATATTCCGATCGAGACCAGTGGGGATAATGTGCCTCCTCCTGTTAACACATTCGCAGAGATAGATCTTGGTGAGGCTTTGAATCTAAATATCCGTAGGTGCAAATATGTAAAGCCAACACCCGTACAGCGTCACGCCATTCCGATATTGCTTGGAGGGAGGGATTTGATGGCCTGTGCTCAGACAGGGTCTGGGAAGACAGCTGCTTTCTGCTTTCCAATAATTAGTGGAATCATGAAAGATCCGCATGTACAGAGACCCCGTGGTACACGGACAGTCTACCCTCTTGCAGTCATTCTCTCACCAACAAGGGAGTTGGCAAGTCAGGTTGGGGTTCCCTTCCAATGTCAAGATTCTATTCGCTTTATTAAAATTCAGTTTCACATCTCATTCTGTGATTTTGGCAGATACATGATGAGGCTAAAAAGTTCTCCTACCAAACTGGTGTGAAGGTTGTTGTTGCATATGGAGGAACACCTATTAACCAGCAGGTAATCAATTTGCAAATAATTTCTTTTTCCTGCGTCTGGTTGTGACTTCTGAATTATGCTTCACACGTCTGTCACTGCTCTCTATTTTATAACCTGTCACTTTGACTTATTGTTTGGGTTCTGCAAGCGTGTTCCTTTCCAAGGCTACTCACCTTATTTAAAAACACGTTTTGGTTTTGGAGTTGATATGTGTTAATCTGGTTTTGACCTCGTATGTTGTTGTTTGCGCAGCTCCGGGAACTTGAGAGGGGAGTTGATATTCTTGTGGCAACTCCTGGTCGATTAAATGATTTGCTCGAGAGGGCTAGAGTCTCTATGCAGATGATTAGATTTTTAGCTCTTGATGAGGCCGATAGGATGCTGGACATGGGTTTTGAACCTCAAATTAGAAAGATTGTCGAACAAATGGACATGCCTCCACGTGGAGTTAGACAGACACTGTTGTTTAGTGCTACTTTTCCAAGAGAGATTCAGGTTGGCTTACTTGTTTGTAAATCAATTTTTGTCTTAATTCACCTTTTTGATATCATGGTTTGGGAACTTTGTCACTTTCTGATTATTATTTCCTTGCTCGAAATTCCTATTCAAGTTTCTTTGCCGTGTGTGTCAATTCTTGTGTTCATTCTTGCAAATTATTGGCTAGATGCATTTTCTGTATTATGCTTCAGTCGTAACACCCTTCTGCGTCCAGTTAAGTTCTTGTGGTTCTCTGGCAAAAACAACGGAAAGGAGAATATCAAGACATAAACTGAAACTGTATGACCGCTGGTAGTAATATATGTCAGTGATGATGGTGAACCTGTTATGACGAGCTTTAGATTGATTTAAGTTCATGCTTCTGTTTCTTGTGTGATTAAAGCTGCATAATACTCGTTACCAGATTGCTTCTGCATTTTAGAAGACTAGCATATCTGCTTACATATTCATTTGAGTTAAACTGCGTTTAAATATTATAACAGCGTTTACATATTCATTTGAAATTTTGAGAAGATTAGCATATTTGTTTCTTGTGCAGAGACTCGCAGCTGACTTCCTAGCAAATTATATATTTTTGGCTGTGGGTAGAGTAGGTTCAAGTACTGACTTAATTGTCCAAAGGGTTGAGTTTGTCCTTGATTCTGACAAGAGAAGTCATCTTATGGACCTGCTTCATGCTCAGAGAGAGAATGGCATCCACGGCAAGGTAAAATTGATTCTCCTCTTTTGGAAGGTTTCACCTGGTCTTGTATCATATTCTGGCATGCATTGTCATACTTCTGATGATTGGAATTTTTTCCATAATTACAGCAATCCCTAACCTTAGTATTTGTGGAGACAAAGAGATCAGCCGACTCTTTGGAAAATTGGTTGTGCATCAATGGGTTTCCAGCAACCTCCATTCACGGTGACAGAACACAGCAGGTTTGCTAATTTATTTGAAGCTGAAAATCTTGCATGTTAATGTGGACATCAAAATCCAATCTTGCCGATTCAGTATTGATACCAACGGGAAGATCGTGTGTAGAAATATATTCCATTGCAACTAAAGCTAAAACCATAGCCAAAATCTGAAGGAAACTGTTGTACTGAACCCTTGGTGATCATTTCAAGCTAGTTTGTTTTCTACTGGTTAGATTTACTAAGTTATGTTGTGTTGTTATGTATGCATTGAAGGAAAGAGAAGTGGCACTGAAGTCCTTCAAGAGCGGGAGAACACCGATTTTGGTTGCAACAGACGTAGCAGCACGTGGTCTCGACATTCCCCACGTGGCTCACGTTGTGAACTTTGATCTACCAAATGACATTGATGACTATGTCCACCGTATTGGACGAACAGGACGTGCTGGCAAATCAGGGCTTGCAACTGCCTTCTTCAACGATGGCAACACCTCAATGGCTAAACCGCTAGCTGATCTGATGCAAGAAGCTAACCAGGAAGTCCCTGCGTGGCTCACACGATATGCATCGCGTTCCTCTTTTGGTGGTGGTAAGAACCGGCGGTCTGGTGGTCGGTTTGGAGGCCGTGACTTTAGAAGAGAAGGGTCTTACAGTAGAGGAGGAGGAGGAGGTGGTGGTAGCGATTACTATGGCGGTGGAGGAGGATATGGTGGTGGAGGAGGATATGGTGGTGGATATGGTGCTCCAAGTGGTGGATATGGCGGAGAAACTCCAAGTGCTTGGGACTAAGCTCCCAATGTTTTGTTTTGTTTTGGTTATAAATGCTGACTATTTATTTTTCTTCTACATTCCCAAAGAGAGAGAGTATGTATACCTACACTTATGTGAGTTCATTCAAGAGATGGATATATGACTAGTGTTGCTGTTTTAGGCGTTTTGATCTTTTTAGGGGATGTCCTAAAAATAGCAGTCACCAGTTTCAAAGTTTGTGTCCAATTTTTGATCATGTTGCTTGGTTTCTCATAACACAACTTCACTTGTTTGTTTTGACATCCATAAACGTTTTCTTCTTTTCAGTTTTTTTTTTTTTTCAAATGGTGGAACACTGATACTCATTCTCATTGATATGATTTGAAGATATCGTCAAGAATAGGTCAAACTTCTCCAAGATATTCACAAGGACCCCAGAAATGAGTCTCAAAAATCATTGCTCTTTTCTTTTTACTACTTATTCAGAGGATCAAAGTGAGAGAGAAGGGCTAACATTGACCAACAAAAAAAAAAAGAAATCCCAAATCCAACTCAGAAATGATCTACTAAATGCACAACGTCTCCCAGCAAGGGACAAAAGAAATGAATCTCAAACAATTGTTCTTTTTTTACTATTGAGGATCAAAATGTGAGAGAAAAGGGTTACACATGGACAGAGACAAATTTCTCAAATCCAACTCAGAACTGATGTGATGCTAAATGTATTGTGTCATCTCTCCCTCTTATCATAAATGGAGGGGTTTTGTATAAAAGGGTCTAATCTGCGTCTATCAGGCATATTTCTAAAACAAAAGAGTAAAACTGAAAAATCCTATTTGTTTGGGGTATATTCACTCAGAGTACGCACCTAAACTGGGCTAAGATTGCAATGTGGCTAGAAGACCATTGTGTTGATGGGAGAGCTGTGTTTTTCCTCACTACCATTTCATCCATTAGTTCCAATAAGCTTTCCACTCTCAAATTATTCCCTGAAATAACAAAAACCATTCGTACGCACTTGAGAGAAAAGCTTCAGAGGAAAAGGGAGTTAGAGTATGTAATCAAACAAAACAAAACAAACCTGTGTAGAATATGTAATCATGACAGCCTGTGAAGTCCTTGGTACAGATGGTAAACACTGGCTCGTTTGTATCACGATGTATGCTCCTCCTGTATTTATCCCATCCTGGACCTATTGGGAGTCTCGACAATGCTGAGTATGCACTCACCTATTCGGTACATTCAGTTTTTTTTTTTTTTTTTTTTTTTGCTTAGTCATATGTCTCAGCAATAAAAGAGAGGCAGAGGGTAATGACTTGAAGGAAAATGTTACCAGAGGCAAATCATGAACCAACTGTGACTGAGGTTGCAGGATACCAAAAGGGTCAACCGTCAAATCCGGGTGCTGCGGGTGGATACTCCCCATTACAACAAGCGAATGAGCAGCACTGAAACGAAATTTGCAAAGGGAAGGTTCAGTAATCTATAAACATCTCATGTATTTGGCTTAAAAATAGGTAAGTGCGTCAGCCAGACCTCCCAGGAACCATGTTGAAATCTCCACACATAATCATAGGCATATTTTTGTCACTCACAGCTACTCTTGCAATCCCTTTCAATAATGTGTGAACCTGCCAGAGCATCACATCCTTCATTTCTTCTGGGATATCTATACACGTGTTTGCCTAAGCTCAAACAAATAAAATGAGCAAATTAATCAGTCTTTTCATGTAAACCAGCAAGAAAAGTAAAATAACACAGCAATGATCCATGGGAAGAGAAGTAACTTACCACACAGATTAGCGGATGCTTCGCAGAAGGACCAGCCGGCTGCTGAATAGAAAATTTTGGTTCTAGAACGACTATCAACCCAATGTTATCCTAGATCAGAACAAAAACTGGAATTAGTTATCTCCACAAATAACTCTCCAATACGTCAGCTGTGATGTCAAAATGTAAATGCATCTCAAAGTACCTTGATCAGTCGTTCAGAAGCAAGCGCCTTTTGGTTATCAGGGACAGAAGCCTCGACCAAAGCCTGAGCACACTTGTTGAATTCAATATCATATTTCCGAACAAATGAAAATCTATCCCGCTTGAAAAATGTTGCACAGCCATCAATTGTACTTGCTCGTCCGCTCAGAACCTCATTAGTCCTCCTCTTGTACTGAACATCATATCCAAACTTGTCCAATCCAGGAGCTAGGAAATCTTCCAAATGCCCTTCTTGTACCTGCCAGAGAGAGAGAATAATAGAGGAGTTGAGAAAAGGCTTAAACTGTACACACTACAAGCGGCTGTTAAAACAATATATGTACAGACTACACATACCTCTTGCAGGCAAACTACATCTGCACCATAACGAAAAATCTCCATAAGCAAGTTCGTTCTACGGTATGTCCAAGTACGAGCCCATGGAGGGCAGTAACTGAATCGATCGCTAGTGGCAGAGGTGTCAGACAAGATGTTATATGAAAGGACAGTAAAATTTCCTGGCTGCCTCATCGCATCATGAAGTCCACTAATAGCAATCAAATAACGCGGAAATGGTGTAGGGTATCGAACAACACGGTTAGCAGTCGAGACTATACGTGATCCCAAAATCGTTCCAGTCTTTGCAGAGACCACAGAAACCTCTAGCTTCAAAACGCAGTCCAAATCCTCAGGTGTTGGCATGTATGTTCTACAATGCCCGACCTCACGTAGTGTTGTCTCCTTCCCTGTTGCGCCGTGGTTATTATTGTTTTTTATCACGTCGTCTTGGATGCCAGATTTCTTTGATTCCTCATGTGCAGTCTTATGAAAAGGCCACGCGTCTTTAAAGCACTTTGATGAACAGTGGTAGCTTTTCGCAATAAGACTCTGACGCTGTGCACAGTAATTACATTGTAAGGTGGCTTGTTCTGACGGATGCAGATGACAACGTGTAGCATTCTTATTACCCTCTACCCGATACCTGCAAAGATTGTAAACCCAGAGACTAAGATCTAAGCTGAAACCAGAATACAAAATCTCAGTCAAATCCTTAAGTCCCCAACAAGATTCTTCGTCAACAAGAACATATAATCCATAGAAATTAAGTTAACTGAGAAAGAAACACAAACAAAGATTCCAACTTTCGTAACCAAGATTCCAGCTTTACGAAGAAAGGTTCTTCTTTTTCTCATAAAAACCATACAAAACCCAAAGCTAAGAAAGTGGAAGGCGTTACCATTTGTATCTCAGGTATAAACCGTCGACCGGAGCCGACGCCGGCACATCGGCGGTGGACCTGGTATTATTCGGCAGAGAGACAACCACGTTCGGCGTTAGTTCCATGTCAAGAATCGGAACCTCCGACGGTATTTCCAACCCTAATATGCTCAGCATTGCTCTTTCTTCGACACGCCCTGTAACCTCCGAGTCAAAGAATCGAACACCGAAAGAAGCTTAACGATATATGGAGAGAAGACGATGCAAGGCGTAAACAACTATCGTTTGCGTCGCTGTTCCCAGAATCTCTTAAACCCTAAATTGCTGGCCCAAAGAAAGAACTATCGTCAGAATCAACTAAAAATCCAGAGTACGGAACACGAAAAGCGAAGACGATGAAGAAAGAAGCAATGGGATTGTTACTCGAACGCTCGATGTGAGTTTCGGAGAAGGAAAGATGAATCGTCGCCGAGAAAGGAAGAAATCGACGTTTTTTTTCCCGGTGAGAGAGATTTTGATTTTCGTCGTCTCAAGTCTTAAGATCAGTGACAAAAGTTTTCAGCGAGAGAGAGAGCGATGCGTCTATTTATATATACGCGTGAGAAAATGAAACAACATATATTGATTCATATACGCGCAATCATAAGGATTTTAGGCGCATTATTTCAATTTGCTTATAAACGAACAAAAGTCAAGTTCTCTCTTCAGACTTTTTCGTTTTTTAGTCTATTATTATTCTCGTATCGATTTTTATTTTTACTCGCTTCATAAAAGCTAAATCATTTAGGTTCTTGTCAAATTAACTTTAACAATATAGTTTGACTCACATAAAATACATACCAAGCCAAGCGTTTTATAATTTTATTATATTGTCAAAAGATTCATGATTCGGTTATGGTGGGTCGCTCCATTTGGTTAAGCCAATGAAAGGGCTTGGATATTTCAAAATTATATCGAACTGTGGATGTGGTATAATTTTGGCCCAATGCATAATAGCCCAATGACCTCGTTTTGCAACAAATGATCGGTTCAAATTCTTGATCGCTTATCCGGTTAATTCGAGAGTCTGAGACCGATTTCGGAGTGTTGCATGAATGATTTAGAATCTTGCTTTGTTTATTGAGATTTCAAGTATGGGTTGTTAGAAGAGCTTTTCCGTTAAAATACGGTTATTATTTGTTTGTTCAGTTGCAAATTAGTTTTAGTAGTTATAACCGTTCACGTGTTTAATTAGCTAATCTGACAAACTTAAATAATCTCTGTTAGACTTGAGGCTTTGCATCACATGTGCCCGTTAAACAAAACAAAAAAGTTTATTATACAAATTCGCATATTGGTCAAGACTTTAGAGGAAAATAAACTTTGGTTTAGAGGGAAAAAAACTTTGGTTTAAAAAAAAAAAAAAAAAAAAAACTTTGGTTTCCTCTACTTTTCAACTTGCTTGTCGGTTTTGTGGTATCGTACTAGAATGTATCTAGGCTACTTGACTTTTAATATATCAATCACCAGAATATTTGCATTTGAGAGTGCCAATTGAAAAAATTAACATTTAATTTATGATACCAGTTGAATTTTTATTTTATTTGACACTTTGTATAAATCACAAAATCTGGATTTGATCTGAGCAAACGAAATTAGAATGTAATAACAAACATATCGTTATTACAAATGGTGAACAACATAAAAGAAAAAAAATATTGAAGATGAAGAAAGATAAAAAGAGGATCAATAGATATGTTAACTAGTTTTAAGTGGTTGAATCAGGGCTTAATGGCTTCCTTAGCCTCTTCTGCTTTACCCTCTACGAACTCAGCCGCCGTGTTTGCGACTTCTTTTCCTTTCTCCATCGCAAATTCTGAAGATTTTTGAGCTTCCTCCACCACCGTATCTTTGGCTTCAACGGTTTTCTCTACAATGTAGTCTTTTGCTTTCTCGCCATCTTTCAATGCCTCCTTTGTCTTCTCCGTCATGAAATCCGAAGCTTTCTTTCTATTTATTAAAAAATTAAAAAAAAATGAGATATTGAGGCTATTTGTATACTAAAGAACAGAAGGGATCACTTTTTGAGGTATGTATATGAAACATTTCTTGAATAATATTTAAAAGTTGAACCAATAAAAGAAAGAATAATATTTAAAACTAAAAATCAAATTAGTTCAAAAGAAATACAAATGTGCCATGAATAAATACAAAATTTAGGAATTTCTACGTTCTAAATGAGTTTAGTCATCTACTTTAAAGAAGTTCTCAAAATATTTTCAAGGAAACAAATATATATATATATATATATTCATATATATATATATATCTGTTTAAAACTACAACACTAGATCGTGTGTTTTGAAATTGCAGCTAGCATTAATAACGGGCTCTAGTGAGTAAAACTCGATCCACAACAAAACCATTACAGTTGATACTTGATATAGACTTACGTGGCTTCGTTGATGTCATCGAGAATGTTGCCGTCATTTTTAACGGCGTAGACCAACGACTTCTTGTGCTGAGCAATGACGACCAGCTCAGTCTTCCGGCCAACTCTGACGGCGCCAACGCCGCTAAGCTTGGCTCCTCCACTGTGGAAAGAAGAACTAATCCCACTGAGAGCAGCTCCTGATAATGACATCGCCATGAGAGATCTTTTTAAGGTGTGGAAAAGTTGAAAAGAGTGTGTTTTGAGAGAAAAATAAATAAAAAGGAGTAGATTTTAGAGGAATAAAGTGAGATGAGAAGGATGTAATCTCCTCCAATAGTATCTTTTTATAGAATTCTAAACTAATTAGGTTCCAAGATTACATGTCGTCGCAAGATATTTTTGGTATTGTTATTAGTATCTTTAACTATTGAAAAAGAAGAGTATTTTTTGTTCGCTATTATTCGGCCACGTAAATTGTTTTCCAAAAAAGAAAGAATCAGGTCGGCCATCAAGTTTGTGGTTGTATACTGTACTGTACATGTTAGCATTTTTGACAATAAAAGTTCACATGTTAGCATTTCTTTTTGACAATAATAGCATTTCTATATTTTCGTTAGCGAATTCAATTAAGCACGGAAGTAGTAAGTTTAATTGTGTCGTTTTCATTTCGTCAAGTGTACGTACTCACTTCTGTTGCAATAAAAACAAAAACAAAAACAAAAAAAATATATATATGTCGGCCAACAAGTTAATTTGGGTTTGAAACCCCAAAATTACTTCTACAACAAAATGAACCATTATGCTGGAATGACTAAATATAAAGACTAATAGCCAAAATAAGTTCGAAAGTACAAATAAAAACCATCTCATACTTTAATTAAAAAAAATTGCAGCTGGTGCAAGTATATTTATTATTCTTGTTCTCAAACGCTGTAACACAAGTGAGTTTTGGTGTTTAGGAGGGAGTGTTGCATATAATCTAGAAGAATTCTTTGTGTTTGTGTTTAGGAGGGAGTTTTAATTTCCATAAAATCTTATGTACAATATCAAAATTATAGGCACATATCCATTGTTCAATCAAGTCCAAACGTTGATCTAGGCTTATGTGATGGTAACCATTGAACAGTAATATGCCAAATTGATATGTTAATTCGTTGGCCATTGCACAAAAGGTTTTTCCAGCTAAAATGGGTTTCCAACCATAAGAAGGAAACTGAAGCAATACAAGCCTTTAATGTAGATCCATTAGGAAAATACCATTCTTTCAACAGCTTAAAGCAAGACATATATACTGTAATAGATATTCTCAGTATCATTGCTACTAATTTAAGCAAATTAGCTTCCTATCCGTCAGGTTATAATCGAATACAATCTACGTACATAGCTTTTTTCTTTGTCAATCTCTCTCCGGTAATATCAAGTATTTGCTAACTTGACCTTCTCTATGAATGCCCATAAAGTGCTTGACATATCTTTGAAATTCTGAAACAATTATAATACCAATGTAATAGCATGCTTCGCATTGTTGATCGATAACTAACATGAACCTTTCCCATATATTCGCAAATTTTCCTTTTAGAGTTGTACAATTCTTGGAATCAACTTTGAAGATAAATAGTCACATGAGAACACGAGGTGAATTACATAAAGATCTAGAGAACTTATATAGAATAATTGATGAATATGATTAAATTTTTTTTCTGTCAGAAAATATGATGGAAAAAAAAAATTGCAAGTAAAAAGAGATTCACATTTACATATGGGAGCTCGAGGACTTCAAGTAACAAAAAAAAAAGACAAGAAACTAAAACATAATAAAATTAAACTTATACTTGTAATCCTTGTTCTTCTCTTTGAATGCAAGGAATGGAGACAAAACTAGGGATATAACTTATAAAAGAAGTGTAGAGGAAAGACCAACGATCAATCTCATAATCTATTGGAATCTTCCTGAACACATCTCCCTTCACAATGTAGATGCACGCATGCGCAGTCTCATCACACGTACACACAAAAAGCCTCTTTTCGTCGATATTATCAACGAAGTAAGTTGGCTGAAAGCCAAGAAAATGCGGTTGTAATCTCGGGAAGTTAGGTATCGACACTGTCATGAAATTTATCCACACTATGGCCTCTCCATTCACGTCAATCTTTTGCTTTGTCACCAAAATCTCAACCTTCCGAGTCAGATAAGACTGCGTTAACATGGAAAGCCGATCTCCCCTGAAAACCTCAAGCGCTCGAGTAGAGATTATATCTTCATTACTAGGTAAAACACAAATAGTCTTGAATATATCCTTTGAAAAATCAAAGCTTTGGATCAAACATTCACGTGTCTTTGAATCAAAAGCATGGAAATATAAATTTCCATTCAGAGACACCATACTATCTAACTTTTGCATACGCGATTTATCACAAGGGCCACTTAAAAACTTCCACGCATCAGACTTGCACTCATAGATGATAGATGGCAACCTTGTAGTAGAGTTGGTTATTAATATCGTAAGAAAATTTACACCCCGAAGATCTTGTAACCCGTTTCGGGTCTAGTGTTATCGTAGCCTACCCCATAAAAGATGAATTCGTGATTCTCTATGAATCTCTTCTGTCTTGACCAAGGGTTCCAAATCGCAAACCCTCTCTTCTTCATAGTAAATAACAAGAATCCATCACAATAATGTATGCTGGTACGTATTCCATTTGGACTGTCTAAAGTTATATCTCTCACCTCTATCGGTGAAACCTGGTCTTCGTCGTTGAGATTGATTTCTACCGAACGAATATGGGAATTGGTCCGTATGATGAATTGAGGACGCGTGCGAGACAAGTAGTTGTCCAAGAAACTCTTCTCATCCCAAATAGCGTTCCATTGTTTACATACGGCTCTGAATCGAGCAAGCGATTTCGTTGGCACTCGACTAAGTATTTCTCCGACCAAGTCCCATGGTAATTCCTCTGGCGGCGACATTAGGTCTTTTGCGTCAACTTCAAGTCTCCGTGTCAGAGAGAAATTCTTAAAATATTAATTAGGTTTGTTATGAGAGTCATAATAATGAATATGATTAATTTAAGAGAGTAAAATTTTATATATACAGGATATCATAATAAATTTTGTTTCAAAAAAGACTCAAATAACATATTTTTATATTCTAAAGGTCTAAATACTTCAATCGGATCAATTTTTACTTGTATTATATATATTGTGAGTCTCATTGATGACACAAAGTGGCAGGAGTTTTTAGTGGTAAGACTTAAGAGGTGACAAAACAATTAGAAACGGTAACATATAGTGATACAAAATAATGGTGGTACCACTTTCAAGACTATTGATCTTTATGGCTTTTGTGATTGGTAATAAAAGGAGTGGGTAGGGGGCACCCATTAAAGCCAAGTTTCTTTTTAATCACTTAAAGCCAAATTTATCTCAAATGGTGAAATGGAAGTTAAAAACAAGTTGATTTTCTTGTAAAATATTAAACATGAAGAGCGAGAAAGAGAGAGAGAGAGAGGATCGAGATATCTAAAAGTTAAGTGGTTGAATCATGGCTTTGTGGCATCCTTAGCCTCTCCTGCTTTACCCTCTGCAAACTCAGCCGCTTTGTTTCCGGCCTCTTTTCCTTTCTCCGTCACATAATCCAAAGCTTTCTGAGCTTCTTCCGCCGCCGTATCTTTGGCTTCAACGTTTTTCTCAACAACGTAATCTTTTGCTTTCTCTCCATCTTTCAACGCCTCCTTTGTCTTCTCCGTCACGTAATCCGAAGCTTTCTTTCTGTTATTATATATATTTCAGATTCAATTATAAACCTCACACATGTGAATATAATAGATAGGTTTACAAGAGAAGATGTTAGAATTAGGACTTACGTGGCTTCGTTAATGTCATCGAGGATGTTGCCGTCATCTTTAACGGCGTAGATCAACGACTTCTTGCGCTGAGCGACAACGACGAGCTCAGTTTTCCGGCCAAATCCGACGGCGCCAACGCTGCTCTGCTTGGCTCCTCCGTTGTGGAAAGAAGAACCAATCCCGCTGAGAACAGCTCCTGAGAATGACATTGCCATTATATCTCTTTGACGTGTGTTTTGGGAGGAAAAGAAAGTAGAGGAAGAGTTTTTAGAGGATCAAAGTGAGATGAGAAGTATGTAATCTCCAATAGTATCTTTTTATAGAACACTAGACCTGTTAGAATCCAAAACTACACGTGGTATCGTACGTAAGATATTTATTGCGCATTGCTATTATCTTCAACGTACGATTGCGGAGAAGAGTTTTTGTTCACTATTATTCGGCCACGCGTAATCATTTTTACGGATTTCCAAAAAAGAAACAGGTCGGCCATCAAAGTTGTGGTTTACATATGAGCATTTTTGGCATCAAAAAGATACATGTTAGCATTTCTCTTTTTTTTTTTTTCTGTTGGAGAAATTTAAGTGATAAGAGTTTTGGCCGTTCTCATTTCGTAATTGTGTGTGTACTCACTTTTGTTGTAAACTTGTAATAAATACAAAAACTATGTCGGCCAACAAGTTGGGCTATTATCGCCCAGAAAAACTAAATTGGGGTTTGAAAGCCCAAATCCACCAAAAGCCTACAAAGTGAAAATAGCTCTTGTCCTAATCTCTCCAGTGATCTCAACTCTCAAGTACTTGGCAACTCCTCCACCTTCTCTATGAACAAGAATAATCAACTAACCCAAACATTCTCCATATATTCGCAAAGAATTCATTATAAGAACCTAATACTTCAAAGCATTAGGGGTAATTTTTACTTGTAAATAACTATATGTTATATACTTAATTACTTGTATTCGTTACATAGTAAGTTTGATTGGTCAGAAAGAGTAAGATTGGTAACAAATAGCCGGAAAAGTTAGAAACGGTAACAAATAGTGATACAACTATTTTTTTTTTTTTTTGGGGGGTCAAAATAGTGATACAACTATCAAAACCGCTAATTTCTCATTTTTATGACTGGTAGCAAAGGAGGAGTGGTATACCCATACGGCTGTAAAAGGTTCCATTCATATCCAATTTCTTTTTAATCATTTTATAAGAATTTTTAGTGTGATGGATAGTAATTAAGTAACATATGAGATAGAAATTAAAACAAACTGATCGTTATTGTAAAGTATTGAACATGAAGAGAGAGAGAGAGAATCGATGTATCTACTAGTTAAGTGGTTGAATTAGGACTTTGTGGCATCCTTAGCCTCTCCTGCTTTACCCTCTGCGAAATCAGCCGCCGTGTTTCCGGCCTCTTTTCCTTTCTCCGACACATACTCGGAAGTTTTCTGAGCTTCCTCCACTGCCGTATCTTTGGCTTCACCGGTTTTTTCAACAACGTAGTCTTTTGCTTTCTCTCCATCTTTCAACGCCTCATTTGTCTTCTCCGTCACGAAATCCGTAGCTTTCTTTCTGTTGTCATATATTCAAATTCATTATAAACCTCACATGGAATGGAATCATGGTACTAGATTCTCAAATATTTGGGGCTATATGTAATATGTAAGTGATTATATATTTGAGGCTAACTATACCAACAAAGACAGGGTCATTTAAATGTTGTATATGAAAATGAAACTATATCTTAAACATTATAAACATAAAAATAGCTCAAGAATCACAAACTTCCAATAAATAGAAACAATAGTTAAATTTTTAATTTTTATTAATCTTGATCATTTACTTTAAAAGATAACTATTGAAATTATATTTCTCTTCTCTAAAACATATTTTCCAAGAAAACATAGGTTCTTCTATAAAAGTAGATAGTATGCTTCAAAATTTTATCATGGACGAGTAATAATTATATGAGAGTTTTTGTGCTAATAATGTAGATAGACCGATGAGACAAGATGTTAAAGAAATAAACTATAGACTTACGCGGCTTCGTTGACGTCATCGAGGATGTTTCCGTCACCTTTAACGGCGTAGATCAACGACTTCTTGCGCTGAGCGACGACGATCAAATCAGTCTTCCGGCCAACTCTAAGGGAGCTAACGCCGCTAAGCTTGGCTCCTCCGCTATGGAAAGAAGAACTAATCCCACTGAGAACGGCTCCTGAGAATGACATTGCCATTATATCTCTTTAAGATGTGAAAAAGGTGTGTTTTGATAGCAAAAGAAAAGGAGGAGTGTTTAGAGGAACAGAGTTAGATGAGAAGTGTCTAATCTCCAAGAGAACCGTTTTATAGATCACTAGATCAATACAATCCAAAACTACACGTGGCACCGTAAGATATTTTTTGCGCATTGCTATTCTTTTTAACTACTGAAAAAAAAAAAAAAACAGGTCGGCTATCAAAGTTGTGGTGATATACATGACAGCATTTTTGGCAACACAAGTTTTACATGTTATCATTTCAGTTTTTTAATTTTGCAAAATTATGCACTGGTAAAGTAATAAGAGTTTTGGTTGTTCTCGTTACGTCGTCTGTACTGTTATTGTGTTAAGAAAACAAAAAAGTATGTCGGCCAACAAGTGCGTTTGGGTTTGCAATCCTTAATGTACCAAAAGCCTGCAAAAAATAAACATATATGATGGCAAGCCTAAATGTTTGTAAAGCCTTATAGGCCGAATAATGAAAACCACAAACAATCTATTACAATAATAAGAAAAAAGTATATAATATATATATATATATGTGTGTCTAATGTTTTAATTGAAGCAGATGCAAGTACAAAGTTTTTGATTAAAACTGCTAAAATAGATTAACTCGTTTCATTGAATGCTATATTTTCGGTCCATGGTTTTCCGGGATAGTCTAGTAAAAAGAGTACATATGTAAGTATGTATTGTAACCATGGTTTTCCTGTTCAGGCAACGTTACAATATTATGAGATACTGCCTCGCCGCATTATCAAAATCTTTGGAACGTTGGAACATGTTTAATCAAAGATTCATCAAAAACTAATTTTGCCTTTAACTGATTTAATACTAATTTTGCCATTGAACTGATTTACAATCAACTCAAGTTTAAGAACAAAGTGAGGAACCTTGCATGCATAAACTAACAAAATTTAAGGTTTCTCTCTTTATTATTAGACTTGATTTGAATGCAAGATTCGTACTCATGTCATGAGCCTACATTAACATGGTCCATAAGACTTAAAACACAAGCTAGGGACAATCCTTGTAAGGAAACAAAACTTTTTTTATTTGATTTAATCTCTTTGAAAATCAAAATGTCTGCACAATTCTTTGAGATTATTATGATAAAGGCAAAATTAGTAATAAAAAGATATTTATTCAATTATTGAGATTATCATATTATAAATTTCTTAATCATATTACTATATATTCTAACTAGAAAATACTTTTTTTGGGATTTGAGGGGAGATTGAAACAAGGTCTTACTTGTTATTTAGCTTGTATTTCCTTTTTTGAATTACTTTATCTTATTTCAAAAAGTCTGATCGTATCGTCAGTTAAAATGGATAACACCCCTATTTGAATATATGATATAGAAACGTAATATTGATTTCATATAGTAAAATCAAATTAATATTCATATAGCGAAAAAGTTTTATTATACAATACTTTTCTCGCGATTTTGCGGGGAGATTGAGATCTAATGGAACTACAAAAAAGATAAAGAACATTTTGAAACAAGGTCTTACTCGTTATTTAGTTTGTATTTCCTTTTTTGAAATACTTTATCTTATTTTAAAAAGTCTGATCGTAGGGTCAGTTAAAATGGATAATTGAATATATGATATATATATATATATATAAACGTAATCTCGATTTCATATTGTAAAATCAAATTAAATTCAACAAAAAGGCACATCCAACGGACAAGATCTTACATCAAACTAGGTGGCAGTGTAGATTCTGGTGCGTGTTAATCTATACAAAGTCACCGACTTGAAGAACGCAACTCAAAGAAGTTTCCTTTTCAACTCTCTCTCACTACATATTCTCAACTGATTCAGTATTTTCTCTAGGGTTTTCATAAGTTGAAGAAACTTTGAGATCATTGGAGTTCAAAGAAGATTGTATCAAACGTGATGCCACCGAAGAGTAAAAGAAGAAACAAGAAGAAACCAGTAGCAAATATGCAGCCGGAGATGGAATTCGTGAAGTTCTTGGGGAAGGGTTCGTTCGGTTCCGTGGATCTTTTCAGACACCGTAAACCAGACGGTTCGATGTTATACAACGCAGTGAAGGTCTCAGACGTTCAAGGCTACGATTCTCTCTACAGAGAATTTAAGATTCTGAAAAAACTCAGAGGATGTCCAAGAATCGTGCAATGTTTTGCAGACACTCTGTTCGAAGAATTCAACTGCCACGGCAACAAAGTCTACAAGATGGTAATGGAATACGCATCAGCTGGTACTCTATCTGCTTTCATGGCACGTAACAGAACATTATCGGATTCGACTATTAAAGACTTCACTCGCATGATTCTACAAGGATTGGTCTCGATTCATAGTCTCGGTTATGTCCACTGCGATCTTAAACCGGACAATCTCCTTCTCTTCCCGCGTTACGATGAGAAAACTTGGGATTTCTCATACGACTTGAAGATTTCGGATTTTGGAATGTCGATAAAAGCCGGAGAGCAATCTGATTATTGGAGTATTGTTTCTCCGTTTGTCGGAACACCTATCTACATGTCTCCGGAGTCAGTCCAAGACGGTACCGTCGAGAAAGCCCTAGATTTGTGGTCATTAGGATGTATAGTGCTTGAGATGTACATCGGTAAGAGGCCATGGTCAGGGGTTGATTCTGATGATCTTGAGTCTAATCTGTTGAAAAACATCGCACCAGAGATTCCACATAGTTTGCCTTGTGACGCAAGAAAGTTCTTAGAAACGTGTTTTGCAAGTAAACCTGACGAAAGAAGAAGCGCTTCGGAGCTGTTGATGCATCCCTTCTTGACCGGAGAACAGATGGTGGCCGCCGGTGGAGAGAGAAGACCGTTGCTGTTGAAGTTGAAGATCAGACCGAGGAAGTCTACGGTTATTCCAGAGAAGCCCCTGAAGACTATTACGATAAAGCCCCCACAGTTTAAGAAAGTTGCGGTGAAACCCCAGAAGATGAAGGTGAAGATTATACCTCCGACAAGAACTCTTCCAGCTTCCACTTTCGAAACTGCTCAGTAGTGTGTCTGGAATTCATCTCTGTTTCTTAGTAAAGATCAAGTTACATGTGGCTGCAAAAGAATTTAGATTTCGGTTTTCAATCAATATGTATACTTACAACATTAAATGTTAATATATTTTTTTCAGTTAAGAATTTCTTGACGTATCTAGATGTGTTATATTTGGTTTTTTAGCTAGCTACAGTAGTTTATGGAGCATTATTCATTAATACCAAATATTAGGGATGTTAAAGTGGGTTAACTCTTAAAATTGTGTTGAAAGATTTAGGGTGTCATTGCGCACACAATAGCTAGTTGTTAAAATTTAAAATGATTTCTATAGATGATCAAATATAAATATGATGAAAAGTTGGGTAATCGATAAAATTCAGCGTTAAAAAAAAAAAAGGTTGGTATTTAAGAAAAGTGTAATAGTATTGCGTCTGTTTTGTTGGGTGGAAAAGCACCTGAGATTCCAGAAGGTGTGCCCTGTGATGCAAGGAACTTTCTGGAAACGTGTTTCGCAAGAAACCCTGATGATACAGGAAGCGCTTCGGATTTACTTACATCGATTCTTGCGTGAAGACGACATATATGGTCTCCGGCGTCTATTTGCCGCCGTTGAAGTTGAAGATAAAACAAGCTCCAGAGTAGTCTACGACTATTCCAAAGAAACCCTTGAAATTGAAGATCATTCCACCAAATCATCCACAGTTTAGGGAAATTATGATTAAACCCCCTGAAAGGTGAAAATTAGACCTCTAAAAACTCAAGCTTCTAAGTTTTTCCATTGTATGAGCGTGTTGAAATTATCTTTGTTACTTCGTTTAAAAGTATAGCTTTTATGACATTTAACTATTAAAACCATTTTGCTTGAAGAATTTCGTTGAAATGATCACTGCTTTCATATATAATAAATTTCTGTGTTTTTCTTTCTGTTAAATTTTCTACGTGACTCGAAGTATGATAGAAAAAAACCTTGATTTAAGACCTACTTATATGGTGTTTTGCTGGTGCTTTCTAGGTGCACTTGGAATCTCAAAGTCCTTTGACTTAATTTAAATTAAGCAAGCTTGGTAGAGTTCCACTTCAAAAGCAAACCTGAGACTTCCATCCTTTATAACAGAAACAGAGCTATTTTTATTTTCCACAGAACCCTTCCAAACAAAGAGCTTCTTGTTATTTACATACAAAACCCTTTTAAACAAAAACAAGAAAAAACCCAAAACATTTCTCCTTCTACTTTTCAACGATGTCCCTGTTCCCGTCTCATATAATCAGTAGTTCCATGCTCCTGTGCTCTCTCAGGCGTATCACCAATAACTATGTTCTTCGTAGTCTGCGCAATCTCAGCTATAGTCTCGCCAATTGCCCCAAGCACTCCTCCCGTCTCAACCCTTTCTTCTTCGACATATCTCTCATTCCTTCTTCCTCCTCCTCTGAATAACTCCTCCTCTCCAACATCTCTCCTCCCTTCTCCGACCATTCCTTTTGTTCCATATCCGAAGACATCTTCCTCACTTCCTCTTCCGTACTCTCCTCCCCCAACATCTCTCCTTGCTTCTTCGGCCATTCCTTTCGCTCCATACCCGAAGATATCTTCCTCACTCCCTCTTTCTTCTCTGTACTCCTCTCCAAATCCTCTCCTTGGTTCTGTGTCAAACCCTGGTCGCCTCTCTTCCTCACCTCCCTCAAAATAAATCCAAAACACACACTTTCTTGAGAAACACGTAACAAGATTATAATACTCAAAAGAAGTTAACAAAAAAAAAGAAGATCAAGCTTAGCTTGAAGTTGTGCAATACCTGGTGCATTTCTTGATCTTTGTGTTGAGCTTCATCTTTCTTCCTAGCTGTGTATCCAACCACTGTATCAGCAGCCACCGCAGCTTTCTCCTTAGTCAAATCCACCGCCTTAGATCCCACTTCTGCCGCCTTATGCCCTGCGTACCCCACCGCTCCTTCCACCGTACCTGCAACCGCTTTTGTCCCTTGCACCACTTTCTCCGTCGTAAAATGCGCCGCCGTCCACCCAACCGCAGCTGCTTTCTCAGCAGCCACTCCAGCGTAATGTGCTGCTCCTTTTCCTCCTTCCACCACCGTTTCTTTTGCATATCCAGCCATGTCCTTGCTCATTTCCACTGCTTCGCCTGCTTTTTGAACGGTGTAGTCTTTTGCTTTTCCAGTCATTGAAACCGTTTGGTCTTTTGCCTCTTGTCCTTTCTGAGTTGCAATGTTTCCAGTTTCCTTCCCTTTCTCTGTTACATACTCAGAAGCTCTCTGAGCTTTCTCAGCCGCAATGTCTTTAGCTTCAACAGCTTTTTGTAACGTATAGTCTTTTGCTCTTGCTGCCTGTTCAGCCGCCGTGTTTCCCGTTTCTCTTCCTTTCTCCGTCACATACTGAGTAGCTCTCCGAGCTTTCTCTGCCGCAATGTCTTTAGCTTCAACAGCTTTCTGCAGAGTGTAGTCTTTTGCTCTCCCCGCTTGTTCAGCCGTCACATTTCCCGCTTCTTTTCCTTTCTCCGTTGCATACTCGGAAGCTCTCTGAGCTTTCTCTGCCGCTGTATCTTTTGCAGCTGCTCCCTTTTCTCTTCCCATCTCCGCTGATTCCTGACCTTTCCTTTCTCTCAACTCCTCACCTCCAGCAGCCAAAAGCTGAGCATGACGAGCTTTCTCCCCATGAAAGCCATGGGTACCACTCTCTTTCTCTTCTCGCTCTTTTCCCGCCATCTTTTCTAGTCCTACTCTGCCAGGAGCTTCTTGGCCGAAGACAGCAGCAGAGGGTTCCTGGCCATGACGTCCTTTCTCCGTTTGTAGCGTGAGTAACACGGACACCACTTTCACGCCCTTTTCCTTTCTGTCTGTTCTCCTCCTCTGCCGCCACGAGCTTCTTGTCCGCCATGGCTTCAGCTTTCTTTGGCCTTG